CTCCAAGTTCTTTAACATTCAATATGGCGTTTGGAAATGGCACCGCTTTGATGCTGAAACCTTAGAAAGAAAGCAAAAGCTTTGATCACAATAATATAAAATACATTTCAGAGTCATGTTACAGGAATGCTGGCTTCATTACTTCAAGCATTTAAAAACAATCTGTTTTATAATCAGGTTTACGGCGTGTATTTGAAGTACCTTTCTCCAGCCACCAGCTGGCTGACACAAAGAGGACTGAAAACACATCCGAGTTGTAAACACGACGAACGTTTTGTGTGGTCCAGTTCAGCAAATCAGAAAAACACGGAGAAGCCCAACAGAAAAAGCGTTTTGTTGGTTTTGGTGGAAGCAGAGCTAATGTTTAAAGTGCTTCTCTGTGATGGGATTTATTTCTGTGGTTGGAAACGGGAAATAATAAAACACAGCAAGGAAACCCAAAGAGGGAACAGATTTGGTTATGATCCTGTTACTTTCCTCTAACCCTAACAGAGAAATGGGACATGGTCTGTTTTTGTATAGAGCCTTCCAGGATCCAGCAAACCCTCGTTTCCCCCCAAGGCGCTTTACATCCTAAATAAATGAAGCTATTGGCTGAGGCTACGCATGTAAGAAAATATTGATTCGTAAAACTATTGTGATATTTCATGTTACGACACTGAACTGATATTTAAAGGCAGTTTGTTGATATTTTTTGGTGGGCGAATGTGGTGCAATAAACTCTGACTGCTAGCTGGCAGCAGTGTTTACCACTTTCATTCTGACTGAATTATGAGATCTCGCAATGTCCGGTTGGTTCGCCATCACCATTTTGTCAATCTGGATCTGGACGTCCCACAGGAGCTTGGCTGTCTTGTTCTCAACCACCTTAGAGGCCTTACCCACTTTGACCTTGGGGCTCCCAGTCCATACTCTGCGCAGATGTTTCTGTACACGATGCCAGGCACTTGGCTGTGGCGTTCCATGTAAGCTTTCCCTGCCTGCATCTTACACCCTGCAGCTGTGTGGTGGATTGTCTCAGGGGCCTCTAGCCTACACCTTGGGTCGTGTCTGGTGTGGTAGATCTAGGCCTCTGTTGCTCTGGTGTTCAGGGCCTGTTCCTGTGCAGCCATGATGAGTGTCTCTCTGTTGTCCTTCAGACTAGGGCCTAGTCCACACGTGGCGGGTTTTTTTTTTAAACGAATATCCGCCCCTCCAAAAACTTGCATCCACACCACCTCGTTTTAAAACAAAACTCTGTCCACACGTACCCGGATAAATACGTTGTTAAGGACATGCCAGACCTGTAGGCGGCAGTACTTCCCCCGTTCTTAACCTCGTCCTTCATCTGTGGTCTTCCACAAGGAGCAGTAATTCCGCTTGCAAAAACAAACCAGCAGAAAGCGCTTGGACGATTGATAAAGCGAGCGCAGCTCTGAGGGCGTCCATGCTGTCGGCTAGTGTAAACACAGGTCGCACACGTGATGTCAGCATTTTTTTGTTGCGGAAAGTGACGTTGCGGACCTTAAAACTCCGGTTTTGTCCGTCCACACGCAGACACCCAAAACGGAGAAAACGCAGATCTTCACTTTGGCCGTAGTTTTTAAAAAGATCCGTTTTCGTGTGAAAAAACTCCGTTTTCGTGTGGATGACAGGCCAAAACGTAGAAAAATATCTACGTGTTGGCAGATCCCCGGCTACGTGTGGACAGGGCCTAAATCTTTCTAGCCACTGGTAGGATGTCCTAACATCAGCCACTTCAGTGATCCGTTAGTGGAACATCCCATGTAGGTGTAGAGTATATTCAACAGATTCTTGCCAATACACACCACTAGCCTAGGCTAGAAGCGCCAGCAGCAAACTCTTATTAAAACGAAATCTCTGTTTAATAGTTATCTGCTAACATGGGTAATAAGTAACCTTTATCTAGTAGCAGGCACAGACGAGGGTTAAATCCACAGAGAATCCGGCTTATGGTTCGGGGACTGCTTTATATTTAGCTTCTACTGAACAAAGACTAAATCTCAAATGGACTCCTGCAACCGCTCAACATCACTGCTGTCAAAGGCAGGAGAGGAGGGAGGGATGTCAGCGTTCTTAAGGGACTGCGCTTCATATATGGAAAGCAGAGTTCACTACCAGGAAAATCATGTGCAAACATAAAAGTCTTCTGCTCTCCTGGACCTGCTTAGCACCAGCTTCCAAATTAACTGGAGCAAAGAACAAAGCTGTAGCTGGTGACATCCTGACATCCATCCCGGAACAAATACTGGGACTCGGGAATACGCAGGAAGAGCGTTCCTTCCCTGACTGGAGAGAAGAGTGTAACATTTCTCTGATCGTGAGTGAGAAGTTTCCACAGGTATGGGAATAATGGTGGGTTTAACTCCGTAGGGTGTTTGTTTCAAAGTGCAATTATTTCCCCCGCCAAAAGATTTGGCCTCTACCACCGGCACGGCGTACACGGACTTCACACGTACCTGTTGTAGGAACGATGCCGTCACCGCCCTCACTACAGAGTCGTGAGAGCAAGCTGGTCTTTCCAGCGCCCGTCAGGCCAATGCACACTACGTCATACTCTGGTCTTGGAGGTGGAGGTCCTTTACAGCACAGCGCCCGGAAACACTAAAGGTAAAAACAGACCAAAGGTCAAACAAGGACTGTAAAAACAGGCCAAAACGCAATGGAAGGATAATAAAAAGAAAAGAAAAAGGGATTTAACTTAAGTGTTGGTGCAACATTTCTTTTCAACAGAGTGCAGACACCGTCTGATCGGGCCCTTGTGGTGGCCAAAGGCGGACCTGTCACTCTATGAATCACAGCCTGAAACCACGGGCCCTGCTGTGAGACGTTAAGCAGCAAACGCTGTGAGAACCGTGAACGGCATCCTTAAATTTGTGTGGAGAGATCAGTGTCCAAAACTAAAGAGAGGTCTCTTATTAGCAAGACAGGAACCAGTCTGGACAAGGCAGGGAAGACACAGCCCCACCCAACTGGAACATCAACACGGTATTTTCTGTTAATCATGCCAGCAGATGACCCTCTTTTAACCGCTCTTCGATCTCTGTTCTTGAATGTTTGCTAAAACTTTAGGTTTCGAGTAAAAATTCAAGAACGTTGTTCAACAAATGGCCTAAAACTGAGACGATTCTAGCAAAAACAAATTAATAGTCCACAAGTTGGCTGCAGTGTTTGTTTCTTTCAAACCAGGCAACAGGAGATCGGGACAAAAAAGAGCTTTGAGGATCAGACACCAAAACAACAGTGATCACTGGGGTCAGTTTTCAGAGCCGTGCCAAAACGGAGCTGCTGTTTGATGGAGATGTGGGGAATCTGCTTCAGCAGAACCAGACGTGGGCTGACGGGAACCCGACCCCCGCCGACTCCTCCGTGAACCCACCAGTCTGCTCAAACAGGAAACATTCTCCTCTCCCAGAAAAACGTTCAGATCAGAAACACACGCGTGTCAAATAGAGGAACACATGTACAAACTTGGTTCAATTAGGTCCTTCCACTCTCTTTGCTGCGCACTTTCCCCCCTCGCCACCTCTGGCCGCCACCTACTATCCTGCAGCAACGTGTAAAGGTTTCTGTGGAAGATCAAATCAACCCCTCAGCTGTCAGTCCTCTGAGCTGAGAGTGGAAAAAAGGTTTGCAGAACGGTGGAAGCTGCCGTGAGCTGGATGACTTATTTATTCACCCCGTGAGTGTAAATGACAACAAAAGAAACTGCCTTGTGGGTGCAAACAGAAGGGGTTTCACAGCAGTAACTAAAGGAGCTTCCAGGGCCTGACCCTAGGGTCCCCGTGTACACAGTGGCTCCTGTGAGAGAGAGAGATGTCAGCTCCCACCTCTGGCCCTCTTTGACACCACAAGATTGACGAGGAAAGCCAGTCAAAGCCTCAAAGGAGAAAAATAAATACGTCCAAAAGGCCTTTGCTTACCTCACGACCCTGTCACCCCCACATCTGATGATTGGAGCGGCAAGTGTGCTGCGTCACTGAAACGGAGTTCAAATCTGTCTGCCTCATGACACGCGCCATAAATCTCAGAGTCATGCAGACAAACAGCTGAAACAGAGACCGCACTCAAAATACACATGCTACGGCAAGTGGCTGGTATACATACTGGATAGCATCAAGTGAATACTGATCAACTGTAATGCATTTGTTTATTAAAGCAACAACGAAACCGTTAGCAGGCGGGGACAACCTTCCTGCCAGAAGTACTCAGCAGAAAAACTGCAGATCCTAGACGTTATTGATTAGCTGCCTCTGGTGAAAACGTTCTAACTCGTCTTCCCTAAAAGACCCGCTGAGACATTACCTCACCGCTGAGGAAGGACATTAGCTAGGCTTTATGTAAATGAGGATCATATCATCTAGCACAAACTCAGACTGCTTGTTGCAGACGAACAGAAAAGAAAAACGGTCGTCAGGTCTCCAGCTTGAAGTCAAGACTTTTAATGAGTGTCATAATTAGGCTCGTTGGAAATGAACCAAAGATCAAGTACATTGTAAGTTTATTAAGACAGGAATAATGGAAGGCCCATAATAAGAGTTAAGATGTGACAGGAACCTATTAAAGCTGCAGGACCTGCCGCCCCTCCAAGCTCAAACCAAGTTGTTGATTTATCATAATCCATCATCATTACGCAAGCTTGGCCGATGTAGCCGGACGGAACAGGAACCAGACTCTTTTAGAAAACCGCTCAGTATTTTTAGAGGTAATAAATGTGGGTTAGAGGGAAACCACAAGCACCACAGCAGCAGACTAGTTCATGTTTCACTCTGGTATCCTGTGGCTACTGTGGGGATGCCGCAGGGCAGGAAAATAGGCTGTGGCATGACAGCTGGTGTCAAACAGAGGCACCCCAACAAGTTTTAGGTTTGGATGTAGAGAATGTTTTGTGTCTCATTTGTTAATTATTATTTTTAACAAATATGAAGAAACTTGGGTGGAACAAATGCTCGTGGAAAGCCCCGGAAGCTGCTCGGTAATTGTCATTTCTGGCAGAGAAAGACTTAACGGCCTTTCTGGATCATTAGGAGCATTGAAAGACGTGTTTAGTCAGAGGTTTGGCCAAAAGCTTTCAACTTTTGACTACATTACCAGATAACTTTGGTGCTTAACTCTGATTGAACATTACGCTCAATGAGCATTTAAGGCTAATTTCTGAAAAATTACGTCAATGACAAAACAGAAAGAAACAGCACACGACTCTGAATGTAGTGAAAGGAAATCGTTGTTATATTGAGTAAAAAATGTAACATTTCATAATAAATGTTGATTGTGCGTCTCAAATTTTAGATTGAAATGTAAAATATCACCACCAGGTTTTGCCTTGAAAGTCTTTGTTGCAGAAATGTTCACATTATTTAAAGCCTAAAACCTCCAGAGTTCACGTTAGCTGAGCAATCAGACGTTGCAGACGTAGGGGTGTGTATTGGTAGGAATCTGGTGATACAATATAAATAATATATGATATTATTGCGGTACAAAAAACATTTGTAATTTTTAAGAAAAACACAGGTCAGACGCTTCCAAAACACATTCAGTGTAATAGCAAGGTCTCATTTGCTACGCTTACATGGGCCCCATCAGATAAAAAATTCTTCATGTAAACATGTCAGTTGGAATATTGTGATCCGATACGGCCCGATCGGAATGAAATTCCATTCCGATTGACGTCCATGTACACATGCATCGGATTGATGCCCATTGTGCATGTGTTCAACTTCAGCGCGACGTCTTTCTGCCTTTGCAGCTGCTCAGGACAAGTGAGCAGGTGATCATTAGTACATTATTCTGCTCTTCTCTGCTGTGGCGGAGGAGCAGTAGCTTTACATACTGCAGTTAAAGCGATCAGTAAAAATAAAAGCCTACAGAAGAAGGTCCACAACCAGGAAATAAAACATAGCTCAATGGACAAGGCTAGAGAACAAGAAAATAACACGCGAGGGGAAAGACATGCGGACAAGGTGACGTGTTTGCAATGTTTTTTCCGGGAAAGACAACTCCGTGCATGTTCAACCTATTTAATCAGACTGAATGCTCGGTGTATATATACTCACGGCACGATCGGATCATTTCAGTTAAATGTCTATATGAAAAGAGATTTATGATTCCTATCAACCAAGATTTGAATCGCATAGCGGAAATTTAAGCGTAGCTAGCGTTTGGTCACAATAAAGGCAGTAAAAATTGCTGCCACCTAGCAGTCAGAGTTTGAATTGCAATCACACTAGGGTTGAAATGAATCTTTGAACGATTTGAATGGTTCGATTCATTAAATTCCTCGATTCATTTTTTTACTGATTTGAAGCGTCCTTAAAAGTACGCACCACAGTCTGAACACACTTTACTGGTCTAGGTGCTGTGGAGAAAAAAAACCCCCAGCAAAGACAGAAACCATTGTAGAAATGCTTTAAAGTTTGGGATTAAGAGCGAAACTACGAGCTGAATTGCTAATGCTAAGCTAGCGCATAGCATGCTCACAATCAAGTGGGGTTAAAAAAAACTGCGATGGTTGTGAATACCGTAAATCCTCTAATATTAGCCTGTATTTAATTAACTGCCGGGTATCATATTTTGGCCGGTGTCGGAGTCGACGGAGGTGAATAATGGCCGTTTTTTTATTGTGGCCGGGTGGAATGTGGTAACAAGCAAGTACGGGGGGCGGTTGTGTCATCCGTCTCACTTTTGATCTGCCAGTGATAGACCACGAGGGTAACTTTAACCGTGCGGAGACGAAGAGGAGGCGAAAATTTGATATCAAGTTCAAAGAGAACGTGCCGATTATGCTGCAGAACACTCTGGGGAGCAGTAGCAGGGGTTGTATGAACTAGTCGACTTCACCGCTCTGTAGTGACTTGTTATGCCTGTCATCGACTAGTCGCTGTCACGTGATAATGACCGGAAAGATGCAGTCCACGGAAAAGACAGCAGCCTGCTGTCAGCAGGTGACAAGCTCCTGCGCATCGGGAGCCAACGCGCTGTGCCAGAGCGTCGGTACTGACACCCGCCGTAAAACGGACATTTAACCAAATTGTGACCTTTAGCCTCTTGCAATTTAACCTTCCCCTCACCCCCATCCTAACCTTAACCAGCTTGCACATGCAAAGCTCTGATTGTTGACGCGCTCCAGACATCTGCGTCCTGAGCACGGCCACAGTAGCATTATCAAATCAGGTGTCGCCACCTCAAAAACTAATTTAACACGCGATCGTTCATGTCGGCTCATGTCCTTTCATGTTTTCTGTCTTTTACTTGTGCCTGATGCGTTTCGCTGCTGTGGATCGGAGTGCATCACCTGTTTTGTCCTCGGTGACGCACCTCACTGATGTGGCCGGCGAGCACTCCGCTGTTTTTGCGGTCGGTAGATCTTTTAGAACTGCAGTTCAAAGGTAACTCGTAAGGTGAATATATATGAACCCAGGTAGCAGTTTTTCTTTAGGATTGAGAGGAGATGCAGGAAGATAATAAACAGGCAGGACAGAAAAATAGTCAAATAAAAACAAGTTAGTTTTTGTACCTGTTGGTTGCAACAAACAGACACCGTTGAAGGTAATCAGAAGTGAGGAACAGAAAATGAAATAATTATTTTAATGTTTAGAGCAGCAGGA